AAGTCATTTGTATAAGTAGTTAACTTTAAATCTAAAAAAATTGTACTTTGAACTATGTTATCAACATGAAAATTTTTAAAGTATTTATTTACTCCTCTGACCTACTCCCTTCCCCCTAATTTTTTGTATTCATAGACAGGGATTTCATTTCAGACTCAATTCTTCAAATGGGTTATGTTCTCTTTAATAACTACCTGTACAACCACTAGTTAATTCTATGCTGAACTAGCTTCAATGCTCACCACTTTCCAATTGCTGTGCTGTTTATTTAGACTTAGATTCTGTGGTGGTTAGTTTTATGTGTTAAATTGGGTAGGCTATGATTGTCAGTTGTTTGGCCAGACACTGGACTGGCTGCTGTTCCATAGTGTAGTGTAGCATAATGTAATCAATCACCTCCCATGAGGTTAATCAGTTAAAAGGGGAGTTTCCTTAGCAGTGTGGTCTGCCTCCAGAATATAAATGGATATTCTGGCAGAGCTCTCTTTCTCTTGACCCTGTACTCTTCTTGTCACCTGACCTATGGATCTTGGGACTTAAACCTGCAGAAGTCTCTGGCCTACCACCTGACCTGTGGAATTTGGACGTGCTAGCCCCACAACTGTGTGAGCCAATCCTTTGAAGTAAATCAATCTCAATCTCCATCCTTATCTATCTACCTATCTCTCTACATATACATATGTGTGTATTATGTGTGTGTGTGTATATATATAGGCAATCTGTTTTCTTCTGTGCATATGTTTATAGTATGACTTTCTTACTCCTTACTAAAATTAAAAACTTTTAAAAATAGTTAAAGCTGGCTTCAATTCTTTCAAGCTCAGATTCAAGTATTAAGGTTAGGAAAAATTTTATCAACATTATCTTTGCTAGCTGCCGCTGTTCTATTTGTTTCAGCAACATGAATTATGCCTCTGCTGGATTTGAGTTAGGTGTTCCATATCTATCATGTCAATTTTATCTGCAAAATTTATCTCAAATTTTCCTTCAGACAACTGACTCAATTTTCTTCAGGGTATGTTCTGTTCTTTGGTCCTTCTAATGAAATTTTTTAAACTCTGCTATGATTTTATTTCCTTATTTTTTCAACTCATCCAGTTTCCTCTTAATTTCAGTCTCTCAGCCACTTTTCCATCTCAGTCTACTGTCTAATTTCATCTTGATATATAACATTACTATCTCCCTGACTTTTACAAAATGTTCTAGCCCCTTGATTTTTACTAAAGCACAAAGTAGATTCTGTCTAAAATTAACTTCTGCTCCCTGTAGCAAATCTCGTCTTTTGCCTATTTTCTTCAGTTTACTTTTACTCTGGACACTATGATGTTCTTTTATGTGGCAGAAATTTCTTCAGCTAATATGAAGCCCTAGTGGCACAGTGATTAAGAGCTCTGCTACTAACCAAAAGGCTGGCAGTTCAAATCTACCAGCTGCTCCTTGGAAACCCTATGGGGCAGTTCTACTCTGTCCTGTAGGGTCACTATGAGTCGGAACCAACTTGACGGCACAGAACAACAACAACGTGAGATCAAGTAAGGTCCCGTGTTTGCTTATAAGTAGGTGAAGTGGATGCATCCGGTTGTTATTCAATGCCAGCTCTCAGATTTTAGGCTGACGCTTAGGTTAAGTAAATTTATATTATCAACCTGGTGATTTAGGAACAGGAAACTTTATCTTAGCATAATTTCTCTTTATGTTTGACATAACCTGTCAAGTAACAGGCAAACTTTCTATATCCAGCCTTTTGCCTGGGTCAGCCTCCATACCTGGACTTTCTCATATTGCTGTTTCCCTGTGCTGCCAGGGAGAACACCCACCATACTGTGGGCTTTCTGCCTACTCTAGTCACTGCTTGGTTCCTCAAAACGTAGCCACCTGAAACTGCAAAAATGGGGTGGTAAGGGGTCTCTAACCTCCTCTAACTTCACGAGGGAGAGAATCATCATCAGCATCAGTAGCCCAAGGCTGACTATTATAAGGCGGAGATCAGACATATTCCACTGTCCAACCTTTTTACCAATTCTGATACCATGGTACTCTGATTCTCTGCTGGGTTCAATAATTTGTTACAATGGCCACACAGAACTCACAGACCATACTCAGAGTTATGGGATTTATTAGGGAAGTAAAAGAGTACAACTCGGGTTCAGAAACGACTCAGGATACAGTTCTTTGATCAGGACACAGTTCTTTGATCAGGACAGCCTATTCTCAGCTGTGCCCACAGGCAGGCCTGTCTCTGGCTATCAGCCCCTTGGCCTAACCTCTGGCCTGCTTGGGCACGTGTTGCAAAGCTCTTTAGCTTTGCCAGTAAGTGCCTGAAGCACCCCACTCTGCCACTAAGCCTCAACCCAAAGGCACTCAGCTCTCTTGCTCTGTGAGCTGGCAAGCCTAGCTCCACCAACAAGTGCCTGGAGGTGCCCCACTCTGCCAAGAAGCCTCCTAACTGAAGGTACTCAGCTCTCTAGCTCCATGGGTCAACACACCCACTGTAACTGCGTCGCTCCATGGGCCAGGAAGCCCACCGCAACATCTCCTGCCAATCTCCTGGTTCTGCTGCCTCTGCTGCCACCCTTTCCCTAACGCTGCTTCTTGCTGTCTCCGGGGTTACATCTCTCTTCTTCTATCTCCTGGGTCTGGTTCTCGGCGCAAGGATTCTGGGTCCAAGGATGTGCTCCACGCCTACCTCTTCTTTCTTGGTGGCAGTGAGGTACCCCCTTCCTGCCTCTGAGATGGCTCATTTTAAGCCTAGTGGGATGGCAAAACTGACCAATCCCCTCATTAGGGTTTCATACACCTTACTTGCATGGTCCCACCCCCTCAAAGGTGCCACGCACCTTATCTGCATTATTAGCAGGCTGTCCAATCCCCTTAGTGGGCCACAAGCACCTTATCTGTATAGTTCCACCCAATCATTTGGAGGGAGTTACAAGACCACAGTGAGAAAGGCCATGCAAAAGTGATCCACTGCACCACAGGAATATAATATTCCACACAGCAAAGTGGATTCCAAGTGGTATACTGTCCATCTCTTCCAAGGTTTGCCCTTATCTCTTCCTTACCCTTCAGTGTGATCATCCCAGGAGCTACTCTACTTCCTATAACCTGGATTATTTTCCTGGGAGTGGTACTTCCAAATGAGGCACTATGACTTCCTAAGTGGTCTATCAATAATATACTTAGCAGAAATTCCTCAAAGTTCCTAGACCTTGGTTGGCATCCTTACATAGGTCGGGGCTAAGTCACATATTCCCTTTTCATAATTATCTGGTCATTCTGATAGCAATAACTGAGGACAGGAGGAAAGGTAATCAGATACCTGTGCTCAAGTTTCCATATTGTATGAAATTTACTTTGGTGCAAAGTTTAGTGTTTTTCTTCATTAGTTTTCCAGTGCCCGGGTCACTGGGAGAAATTCTCTCTAGTAAAGATACTAGTAAATTCTATTACTGTCTAAACAACTAGATCATCTTAAAATTCAGACTTGTAAAAGACCAACATCACTTCAAACTGGAAGAATTTGTCATAATAAATGCTGTAGAAGGAAAAAAAGAAACGAATCAAACTCTCCTAGAAATAGTACAAAATGATTTACCCATGTTATCAGTGCCTGGATTTCTGTATGGCTCTAGTGTAATAGCTGGCACTCACATAATGGTGAGCCTGAGACACTGCAAAATCCTTAAGAAAAAGTTATAGTTAGCATAGTTTATTTTATTTTAAGTGCATAGTTTAGTACAGAGCCCTGGCAGTGTGGTGGGTAAGAACTCAAAAGGTCTGCAGTTCAAATCCACCAGTCGCTCCTTGGAAACCCGATGCGGTAGTTCTACTCTGTACTATAGGGTTGCTATATGAGTCAGAATCGACTCGACAGCAATGAGTTTTTAGTTTAGTATAGTCCAACTCTTTGAAAATTAGTAAACTAAGCCTGATGGGGTAATCACTCCAGCAGATGAAACATCTGCCAGAACAATACTCACTCCAGACAGATCAACTGATATTTTGATACATAAGCAAATAAATAACTGTTCGATTGCTATACATTCAGCGTCTTCTAGAGTACATTCTAGGCTCAGTATGTTATTTTACTGAATACTGTCAAAAAAAAAATTGATTCCTCTTAATAAATTATATATTTCATTTGCTTGTTATTAATGTTATTTATTTAATTAGAGGCACAGAAGAACAAGTTATCATGTAAATACATTAAAGAAACAAACAAATGCCATAAACTATTTTAACGTTACATCAAGACTGAAAAATTTCCGCTTGGAAGTCTTTCTTTTTAAGCAAAACTGTTTCTGAGCATTTTTAACAAGAGCCCTCTGGCCTCACAAATGTGTGTCTTTTCTTTTTTACTTGAAATAATTTAATCCTGTTCCTCTACCTTCCAAGTGCTACAGCTGCTAACCAAAAAGATCAGCAGTTTGAATCCACCAGGCACTCCTTGGAAACTCTGAGGGGCAGTTTTACTCTGTCCTACTGGGTCGCTAGGAGTCAGAATCAACTCGACAGCAATGGGTTTGGTTTGGGTTTTTACCCTCCCTATGGAGCCCTGGTGGCAAAGTGTTTAAGAGCTCAGCTGCTAACCAAAAAGTTGGCAGTTCCAATCACCAGCTGCTCCTTGGAAATCCTATGGGGCAGTTCTACTCTACCCTATAGGGTTGCTATAAGTCAGAATTGACTCGACGGCAATGGGTTTGTTTTTGTTTTTCTTTTAAACTTCGTTATTTTTTCCTCATTTGTAAAAGAGCAAATGAATTAAAAACCTACAAAATAACTGCTTTGAATTTCCAAAACTAACAAAAATAATAAATGTACAATCTTCTTTCCTAGTAGATAAAAAACAGAACCTCTTATTAAAAGCAGCAAACGTGCCTTAATCCAATGAAAACTGCTCTGTAGAATAGTGATGACAAGGGTTCACATGCACTCCCATCTTAAAAATGGATAAATTCATTGAAAAACAAATCAAAATAATTTTATTTACTTAGCTGTACCTGCTCATCTCTTTGTCTCCACTCTTGCCAATTTTCTTCTCGTGAATCCTTCTGTACTGGGTTGGACAACGAAAGCTCATGCTGAGTGTTACAAACGGCATGGGAGGATTTCTGCGGAATTTTCTTAAAAGCAAGATTTCTAAGCTATAAAACAAACAAAAAAATATATTAAATTTAGTTTGCCGTTCCTGTGATAATAATGACTTTTTAAGTTAAAAAAACCAATAAATGATATTTTATATGTCTAAATACTACTCCAAATACCTTTTTGCTAACTCAAACAACTGAAATGAAGTTGGTGTTTGTCTGTTTTGTATTCCTTGTAGAATATTAATTTTTGCAGCATTTGAGATGCTGTTGGTGAATTAACAGATGAAATGATTAATAAAGTGAGAATAGATTACACTATATTATGCAAACATTTTAATGATTTCTCTTGACTAAAGGGAAGAAGTTTATAGGATAGAAAACAGAAAAATAAGTGCACATTTTAAAATGCAAAACAATATAGTCAAAAAGATTAAAGTTTAATAACTTACAAATTTAAAATTTTAAGTACAAATTTAAAATTTTAAGCAACTCTAGCAACTGCTTTGTTACTCCTGAAAAATACAGACCCTAGTACACAAAACATAATGAACTAAAACCATACTGGCCAATCTACTGCCAACAATAAGAATAACCTGAAACGTAGTAGTTGAAACAACAGAAAAATACTGAGAGGCTTGAAAATAAGGAGCAACAATTTTGACTGATAATCACTACATTGTTCTGAAAGATGAGAGTGATGAGATATAAACCACTACCAGCAGCTGGAGTGTTGTAAATCCTAACCTCTATGCCTGTGGTTATGATCCCACTTGGGAATGGGTTGTCTTTGTTATGTTAATGAGACAGCATTAGTGTAGGGTGTGTCTTGAGTCAATCTCTACTGAGATATAAAAGAGATTAAACAAGCAAGCCAGAAGCAGAGATGGGAGAAGAGAGACGCCAAGCCACATGAAGACTGTCCACAAGCATAAGCCCAAAGAGATAAGGACCTTCCTCCAGAGCTGACAGAGACAGAAAGCCCTCCCCTAGAGCTGGGACCCTGAATTCAGACTTCTAGCCTCCTAAACTGTGAGAAAATAAACATTTGTTAAAGCCACCCACTTGTGGTTATTTCTGCTACAGTGGCACTTAGGTAACTAACACAGCAACCCTATAAGCTGGAATACAACTACCCTACAGCGTCTCCTGCAGAGTGGCTGGTGGGTTCAAACTGCCAACGATTTGGTTAGCAGCTGAGCACTTTTAACCACTGCGCCACCAAGGATGGACCATCAAATGCATAAAAATGTATGCTCAAGGCTAATCACAGTTTTCCATAATAGTAAAAAATGAGAAACAACCTAAATGTTTACCAAGGATTCAATTAAATAAAGTATGATACATCAAATAAAGTATGATACATCCATATAATTAAATACTGTGTATTCATTTAAAATGGAGCCCGGGTGGCAACAATGGTTACGAGCTCAGCCGCTAACCAAAAGGTTGGCAGTCTGAATCCACCAGTCGCTCCCTCGAAAACCTAATGGGCAGTTCTGGTCTATCCTATAGGGTCACTATGAGTTGGAATCGACTTGATGCCAACAGGTTTTCTTTTGGTTATTCATTTAAAATAATGTAGATCTTTGTTTACTATTATGGGAAACTGCTCATGGCTAATTAAAAAAAGGTTGTAAAATGGTCTAGTATGTCATCTCATTTTTGTTAAATATGAATATACTTTTTAATATTTTGGTATGTGTTTTCTTTATATCTGCATAAGTTTATTCATATAACTGAATATACTTATGCAGATATAAAGAAAACACATACCAAAATATTAACTGGTTATATCTTTAGGTAGATCTATAAATGACCCTTGTTTCCTTTTAATACCTCTCTAGTTTTCAGAAACTTTTTGGAATGAGCGTGTAAACTTTCATCATGGAAAAAAAAAAGATTTTTTAAAATATTCATTAAATTTGACTTTGAATACACAAAAATTCCCATTCAATCGTTTTAATAATATTTACGAGTACCTATGGACCAGGTACTATGGATACATGGGTGAACAAGATAGAACCTGTCCTTGTGATACTTAACAGTCTACTGGGAAAGCAGACATTTAACAAATAATTATAATTGTTACCTCATTTGCTTCACTCTGTTGCTGTTCCTTCTTTTTTCTTCTTTTCTCTCTCTTTTTCTCATTTGTAGCTGATTTACTTCCCAAAGCTTGAGACTTTCCAGTATTCCGACCTTTGCCTTTTCCAGGCTCAGAATCAGAACCACTGCCACTATCTACTTGTAGCAGAGCAAAACGAGAAGCAGTGGTGGGAACAGAACTAAGTACTGCTGAGGCCATCATAAAGATTTTTCTTTTAAAATACTTCTGTCAAGAATAATATCTGTGGGCAGGGGAAAGAGAGGGCGAATGAATAAGCATGTTCAATAAAATCTGTTCTAGATTCGAAAACAGCCACATATATATAAAACATTTCTCCTGACACCAGAACATTTAGATTCATACTCACAGCCCTTGGGTATGAACATACTTTTTGGCAATAACATACTTTGCAACTTAGGTAAATAACATAAAATTGCACAATGTAAAATAAATAAATTGAGATTTCACAGATAACTATTGTAAGACTATCACCAATATAATGTGTTTGTTTTTCCATACATAGTCTTCAGAAATTCGTAATTTTTCTCTTTCCCTTAAATACTTCTGTAATATATACATATTTATGGAGAGTACCCTAAATTAATATGGTTTACAGTGAAAAATCCTAACAATACTTAAGTAGGAATATCATTTTTCACTGTGCACATGAAAAGAGACCCTTCGTCCAACCACGTTTACCTCCAACTTCCAAGACAGAAAAAAGAGGAGTAAAAAAGAACATTCTTATCATATACAAAATGTTACCTTGAGTCTGAGTCTAGAGACTGCTACTAAATCACAGAAAGACAGCAAAATAGAGAACTTAAGCTCCCTCAACCAAAGGAAACTTCAAGAGCACTTTCCACATATCTTTTAGTTCACTAACCTCCGTGCACCCTACCATTCCAAGCACAGGTGGGAGTGATTTCATTTAGTGCTCGGACAGCTTTTTTAGAATCTTTTAGACTTAGAAGGTATCTTAAAGATCCTCTAATAACTTCTAAATCAAACCATTTAGTTTTACAAATGACGTAACCACGGCTTAGACTGGGTTAAGTGATTTGCCTAAGGTGATTCTGCAAGTTAGTGGCACAGTCAGAACCTGAGCCCAGATTTGCTGAACTTTCCTCTGCAAGGCGCAAGTAAGAAGCCTGGCAACTACTAGAAGACTACTCTTTCAATTCCGGAAGAAACAGATTTTCTTAACAAATCGTGCAACTCATAAATGTTTAATTATTTTTATTTTGAAATATATCAGGTACACAAAAAACTGAATAAAATATTTAGTTTAAAATATAAAACGAACACTTCAAGTACCCAAACTAAGATTAATAGACCATTATCACACCCCTGTATGAGTCTCCCCAATAACATTCCTCCTTCCAGAGAAAACCACTTTTATGTTACTTATCCTTCGTTTTTCTTTATAGTTTTATCACATCTATCTCTTAAGTCACAGTGCTCATATCTGAACTAAACCAAAAAAACCAAAACCACAGCTGTCGAGTCAATTCTGACTCATAGTGACCCTACAGGGGTAGAACTATGGGGCAGTTCTATCCTATACAGAGTAGAACTGCCCCATAGGATTTCCAAAGTTGTAAATCTTTACAGGAGCAGACCGCCACATCTTTCTGCCACAGAGCTGCTGATGGGTTTGAATGACCAACCTTTTGATTAGTGGCCAAGCACTTTCGCCACTGTACCACGAGGGCTCCTCATATCTGAACTAGCCATGGTCATTTCCACAATATCATACTGGTTACACAGGTCCACCCTATCTGGTGTGGGAGGGAGTATGTAAAAGTATGAATATTAGAAGGCAAGGACCATTGGGGTCCATTATGAAAGCTAACCATACACTATAGTTTAAGTGTGTTTTTAAGAAGGAACAAAAATGAGAAGCATGTATTCAATCTCCCATCTTAACCTAAACATCCAGAAAAATATTTGGAAACTTTTCCATTTTTTTGTTAAACAATGAAGAAAAAGAAAAATAAGAGCTGATACTTGAAGATATCATCTAGCAGCTATTATATCAAAGTATTTTTATTATAATACCACGTTAAAACCCATTCCTCCTATGACTAGAAATACATAAAACAAATAAAATACCGCTATGTAAAGAGACAACGTCACACTGATAAATTATGACACATTTTTAGGTTTAAATCTTTCCTGCAAGCATGAGAATTAAAGCTTCTTTAAGTTGTTTTCACAAGAGAAAAAATATTACAAAATTAGAACAGGATGGTGCCTGACTATCATAATTGAACTTTTTTTTTTTTTTAATTATTGTACTTTAGATGGTTTACAGAACTAGCTTCTCATTAAACAATTAGTACACATACTGTTTTGTGACACTGGTTACCTGCCCGACAACATGTCAACACTCTACCTTGCTTGACCCTGGGTTCCCTATTACCAGCTTTCCTGTCCCTTCCTGCTTTCTAGTCCTCGTCCCTGGGCTGTTGTGCCCCTTTAGTCTCGTTTTGTTTTATGGGCCTTTTTGACTGAAGGGTGAACCTCAGGAGTGACTTCATTACTGAGCTAAAAGGGTGTCCAGGGGCCATACTCTCAGGGTTTCTCCAGTCTCTGTCAGGACAGCATTACTAAACCTTTTGAACAAAGACTCTATAGAAGAATCCTGATCAAAAAGGGGAAAAGGCAGAACAGAATTTCAAATTCTCATGAGCTCCAGACTTTCTGGAACCACAGAGGCTGGATGAACCCTCAAAACTACTGACCTGAGATAATCTTTAAAACTTAAACCAAAAATATCCAATGTCTTCTTAAAACCAAACAACAGTTTAGCTTAACTAATGAGAAATGTCTGCCTTCAGCATTATGCTCTTTTAAGAACTATCTGCATGGGATCAAACTGACAACAGCAACTCAAAAGATTAGCTAGGAACCTTAGGGGGCAGTGAGTTTATGTTACTGAGGGAGGAACAGCTCAGAAAAGGAGGGCGAGAATGGTTGCACAACTCAAAGAACGTAATCAATGTCACTAAATTGTTAATGTAGAAACTGTAAAACTGGTGCATGTTTTGCAGTGCATATTCTCAACGACAAAAGTAAGTAAAATTTTTTTAAACATCACAAAATTAAAAGGAAATTCTACACTCAAAAACATTATGGAAAACATTAATTCTGCTTCAACTTCAGCAAGTCATTGTTACAATCCTAGGTAAAATTTTAGTTGCTTTGAGTACTTTAGATACAAGTATCAGTATAATAATTTCTTAACTGTTGGGAGTATAAATTGCACATGATAGTTGTATTACTGTTCACAAATATTTACTGCCCCTCCCTGAAGGAGAAGTATCTATCACTCCCCTGTTGAAGGTAGGCATGATTATTCGACTTGCTTTGGCCAGTAAAATAAGAGCTTTAAAAAGCCGTAAGAGCCAGCACATGGTTAGCCATGTTCTCGATTCCCGGATTCTACAACTGTGGAAGCCTATGTTGACATGGAGTCTGAAACTACAATGAACAAAGCCCCCTTACCAACCTGTGACAGACACACAGCTTGAACAAAATATCAACTTTGCTGCTTTAAGCTGTTGAGATTTTCAGCTTGTTACCATAGTATAACTTAACCTTATCATGACTGATACCTTACACAAAAAATTTCTTTTCCCCTCTAGTACTGATATCAAAACTGTGAAAATCACATTTGGATTGTCCTACATGAGTTAAATGTTCATAAATGTCTGTTCTAAAACATCTCTCTGGAGCTTAGAGAGATTTTCTCTTTGTGGCATAGAGCAAAGCTTCCTTACCAGTGTATTCCCAGGTGAAGATTCCCAAGGCCTTAAAGCAACCCTGGAGAACCCTAGAGAAGTCAGAGCCTCTGGGAACTCACCTCCTGATGCAAGCAAACTCATCTAGTGCTCCTGAGAGTAGTTCCAGCACACGCTGCTCTGCAGTTAAGTGTCAGCTGTGACAAGAGAAGTGCTCTACCCCCTGGAAATCTACTTCATCAGCCAGCTGCAGAATGTACTGCTGCCCATCACAGTAGATAGACCCATGGAACTGCTGGAAGAGTGTGCTCCAGGTGCCCCAAGAGCAAAGCATGCAGTATAAGGGACAGCAGGTCAGGAGTCTCCTATTGAGCAAGGGTCAAAGCAATGGCCTAAATCTCCATATTCACATATAGCAAATATTTCTCCCCCTTTGCCAGTGACATGCCCTTTTGCTGTTGTTAGGTACCGTTGAGTTGGTTCTGATTCATAGTGATCCTATGTACAACAGAACAAAACACTGCCCAGTCCTGTGCCATCCTCATGATCGTTATTATGACATGCTCTTTCAGGGGTATAAAATCCAGCTGCAGGGTGACAGATCAAACAATATATATGCTTTTTGCAAATTAGAGCTTCACCACTATTTTAAAACACTTGGACTTAAAAAGTCCAATTGGATTTGAAATCCTTTCATTGTATCATGAAATTTCATTATCACATTTTCGATAAAAAGAGCTTTTAGATTCTTTAAAAATAATTTTAACTGCTGTGAATTATTAAATGGTTATACAACAAAAATGGTTAAGTGTTTTTATATCTACTCATACAAACATTTCAATGGGGACTCAATTTGAAGAAATCATCATTTAAAAGTCTGGATCAGGAATTGTATACTCCTATTTCATAAATAAAACTTACAAAAGAAGCATAATTTTCTCATTAGAAACCCTGAAAAGATTTTGAAGTTTTATACAGATTCAACATTTAACATCTTTCCTAATACTTTGTGTTTTGTTTTACTTATCCTAATCATATACTATAAACAACATGTAACACATCTTTTTCTATATTGTAATAAGTGTCTGTATTGCAGCTCAATACAGACACTTCTAGATCACGCCCAGTGTCATGACAATGAGATGCCTCTGGTCCTTTATGCCAGTAATGCAGAACACCCGCACAAGAGGGACAACCCGCTATCAGAATACCCGGTCAAATCCAACTTGCTATTGACTGTGAAACCCTGATCAGTGAAGAGAGGTAAGCGTGCCTATCTCCCTGAGATGGTATAAAGATTAAATAAGTTAATATACGTAAAGTGCTCAGAACAGCAGCCAGTACAGAATAAGTACTAGAATATAAGCATCTACTGGAATTCTTACTATTATTATTAGACTGAAATATGTCTTGAGATATTAAGGGAGCCCTGGTGGCACAGTGGTTAAGAGCTCTTCTGTTAACCAAAAGGTTGGCAGTTCGAATCCACCAGCCA